GGCTAATGAAAACTGCTATCCCCTTAGGTCTTACCTTGAGCAACATCATCATATGTATTTTGGTTGACCATTCGCTCCACAATTTTAGCAGCTTGGGACACTTTGGTGATATCATCACTCTGTGGGATACAAATGTCACAAGTCCTCATCAGTTAGTGCCTGGCAAGGTCATATGCACTGAGCCAAAGCCCAGATTTGCCATTGGCTCAGCAATATAACCCCATGGTTACCTATCCCAAAGGGCTCGGAAATGGCTTGCAGCCCGACTTCCTACTACTACGAAATTCCAGGAGCCCTTTCCTCACAGGTGCACAAGGGTCTGAGTGGATATATCTGGTCCCTGGACAAAGCTGCTTCTCACTCTTCCATCCAGTTTGTTTTGGGAAAGGCATTGAACAGAGCCCAGGAAGTCATAAGAGGGCAAAGCACGCAAGGGCCTGTTAGAAGCTTTGGTGGGACAGGGAAGGACAGATCCCTAGGAAAGGCCCCAGGGGTCACCCAACCCAAACTCCTTATTTATTTAGTCTCAGTCTGAGGGGGGGTCACAGAGGCCCAAACCAGGAGAGAGAAGATCCAGGTGGAATGCAAGGCAGAACTAAGCCTTCTAGCCCAGGACACTTCCCAGACCACAGACAAAGCAGCAAGTTCTACCCTGGAAAAAGACTCCCTCTGAACACAGAAGCAACTTCCATAAACACATAAAATAAACTGCTTGGCAAGTTAACAGAGAAGCGTGAAGTTTGGGGCTGGCAAGAAAAGCACAGGGAAGGGGAGAGATAATGGCTCAGCAGTTAAGAGCACTTATTGCTCTTGCACAAGACTGGCGTGCTACTCCCAGCACACATTCTGGGTGGCTCACAACAGCCTGCAACTCCAGCTCCAGAGGAATCCGTGGCTCTGGACTCCAAGGGAACCACATTTGAATGCATATAACCCACCCCCCCACACACACACACAATTTTAAATGCTAAAAATAAGTCTTTAAAAAAGAAAAGAACAGAGAGTGTGCGGTGAGTGGCTGGAGGGAACAAGCTAAGTGTGTATCCAGACAGTGACCACCGGTTGGACATGGGGACCTTGGAGATTAGCATTGCCAGGAGAGGCCATGTTGGGCTGTGATTAACAGTCTAGGTTCTGGGGCTGCCACGATGGCTCAGTGGGTAGAGCCTGAAGATCTGCATTCATCCCCAGGACTCACATGGTAGAAAGAGAGAATGACTCCCACAAATTAACTCCTGACTTCCACACATGCTGTGGCTCATGTGAGACACTCTTTCCATAAATGAAATAAATAAAATCTAAGTAAAATTACACATTGTGTAATTCTTTCCTAATTGGATGCAACCCTGAGCAAGTCACTTTGATTCTCTGGGTCACAGTCTCTTGTGACACAATGAGGATGGAAGGGCAGCCTCTCCCTCAGAGACCACTGTGGGGGAGTAAACACAACAATGCACACACTGATTTAAGTCGGTCCCTGGTGGCAGTGCAGTCAGAGGGAACAGCTGAGTGAGTGGTGGAGGCTCACACAGTGGCATCTGGGAATGGCTCTTCGAGGGCCCT